GGATCCAATGCCAGGCTGGGAGAGCTGGGAATGGAGGGAATTCCCTGGAGAGGGAGCCTGGGCTGGGATTTTGGGAAGGGATTCCCAGAGCAGCTGGGGCTGCCCCTGATCCCTGCAATGGCCAAGGTTGGACACTGGGGCTGGAGCAGCCTGGGATGGTGGGAGCTGTCCCTGCCATGGCTGGGGTGGTGTCTTTGCCCATGGCAGGAGGGTTGGACTGGATGACCTTTATAAAGACCCTTCCAACTCCAAACTATTCCATGATCCTCTGCCAATGAACACCAGGAAGAACAAAAACTGTTTTTTTTCTCTCTCACACACTCCTCTTTCAATTAAATGGGAACAAGTTAGAGGACAAGCAACTAGAAACACCCAGAATGCAGTAATTAAAGAAAAAAAAAACAAACATGAAAAAGAGCAAAGATAAAATGAAGACATTTCAAACACCAATTGGAATTTAACAACTGGATGCAGAACTGCTCCTGCTCAAAGCTCTGCTCCATCTCAGACCTTTCACCCCACAGAGCTGCCAAGGACTTTGTGGCTGCCGGCCTGGTCTCTGCCCACTCTGTTATTGTTATTTGTTACTCTCCAAAACCCACAACTCAGGCACAGACACAGAAAATGAGCTCTTTGGAACCAGAGCTGTGAAAAAACCACTGGAAATGCTACAGAAAGAAAGGTTTAGACTATTATTTTTTTGTTTCTCTGAGTTGAATGCAGATATTTCCCAGCCCCTCAGAGGACAGGTCCTGTCATGAGGCTGCACCCCCTCTGTAAGCAGCTTGTAAATTATTCTTAATATCACACAATGAACACCCAAGGGGGAGGAAATGGAGCTGTAGCCAAATGTGAGGACAGCATTTAGGAGGAGTAAAAGCAGCAATCTTGCTGAGAACTCTGCCAGCACACTGAGACAAACTCTTCCATTTTCCAAAGAGCAAACCAATTTCCAGCATCCTCAAATAGTCAGGACATTGATTTACATCTCTCACAAACAAGAGCAAAGTGAGCAATTCGATATCTGGGAGCTGCACACGGCTCTGGAGGCTCTGTCAGATGTGGGTGTTTGATAAAACAGTGGGAACACTGAAAATACACATTTTCAGTGTGTTCCCTGCACATTGTCCCATTAAACAGCAGCCCTGGGCAGCTTTGGGGGCTCATTCATCTGTGGGATCTGACAAGATCCCAACCCTGGGTAACTGTGCTGTCCTTTTCTCCTGTCTTTCCACTTCAAACATCCTCTCCTGCCATTTAATGTCATTAAGGGGCTGTTTGACTGTGGGATCTCAGCACCTCAGGACTGAGGTGCCGAGTCACCGAGACCACCCTTGGGGGGCTCGGGAGTCCTGGAATGTTCCAGAAGTGNAAGGCTAGAAAAGAATGAATAATAAAAACCCGTGACTGACCAGAGAGTCTGACACAGCTGGGCTGTGATTGGTCATTAATTAAAAACAATTCACATGCTTGGTAAAGAATTCTCCAAATCACATTCCAGAGGATCAAAACATGGAGAAGCTGAAGCTTCCCAGCTTCCCAGGAGAAGAAATCCTGGCAAAGGGATTTTTCAGAAAATATCACAGTGACATAGGAACAATTCATGGTGTGAATTCCGTGTTAGGAAATAGAGGAAGTCTGGTGCAATCAAAGATATTCATAAATGAGAGGGTACAACATCCCTACAAATCCCTGAATGTGTTTCAAGGAGCTAAAACCCCCTCAGTTTCCTCCCCAGCTGGTTTTCCTTGCTGTTTTCTTCACAGGAGAGGAATTTTCATTACAAACACTATCAAGCTTAAGAGACTGCTGACGAATTCAGCAAAGTTTACACTGCCCAAGTGACTGATTGCTTGATTTTATCTTTTTCTGCTTTATTACGTCTGTCAAGGGGTTGATGAAGTTCCTCAAATCTTCCAGCAAGGCTTCTGGAAGGGTAAAGTGAGAAGAATGAGAGAGGATATTGCAGATATGGTCCTGAAGTACCAGGAATTGCACAGGGAGAAATCCTGTTGCTAAGAGACAGGGGATGGGGAAGCAAGAGAGACTCTGCTTGTTTAAAGTAGGT